TGTTTCAACACCCTGAGGAATGTCACTTTTTTATTTTTAGGTTTTTTCTTTTATTTAGTGATTAGGTGTCTTCGAGCCTTAATTATTTAGTGATTAGGTGTTTTTGAGCCTAATTCTTTCTCAATCTGATTGAAAGTAAGCCATCAGCACTAATTCTTCGTCAATTTGATCGAAAACAAATCATTAGTGCTTAAATTAAAGAATTCATAAAAAATTATCTCTTTATTAATCTCTCTAAAATAAACTTGGGTATTATACTTTTCACTATACTTTCTCTCTAAATTTTATATTTTATAGTTTTAAATAAATTAAAATAATATAGTAATCAATTAAAAAAATATATGTTATTAATTAGTAATTTAAAAAAGGAAAAATTAGTACCTTCAATCATGCACAATCAATAATGTGAGTTTTAATTTCATCAAATTCATCATATAATAATTATTAAATATCTTAATATTTTTAATATTAAGACATCTTAATTTTTTTAATTAATTAAAGGTGTGATCATAATAAAAAGAGTTTTCTATCCTATACTTTTAGGATACAAGTTGAAAGTGTAATTAAGATACATTTTTTATATTAATTAATATTAAAAATCACAAAATCTATTATTAATTTCATCACTTATGTCACATAAATTCTTTTAATTAAATAAATAATTAAATAAAAAATTATTTTTGTTTTTTTCAATAACAATTAATACTAAAAATGTGATCTTAACTTATATCCTCACACATATGTTAGAAAAATCTTAATTCAACCAAGTATCAACAAGTTTTTTTTTTTTTTTTTTTAAGAATAGGTTTACATTTTAATATAGGATTCGAAACCAACTCCTGAATTAAAAGTACAATTTACAACGAGACTTATAGTCATCAGGCTGCAAAGCCCAGCTGCAACAAGTTAGATAATCAAAGTTCATAAATACAATACAACCTCAATCCTCAGTCAGAAATATAGAGAGCCTGCACCATCAGGAAAAACAAATAAATAAATAAAAATAAAAGCTTGCGATTATAGGTTGCAGATCCCAATCGTTGTTGTAGAGACATCCCAATTTGGATCGCAGAATGATATGGCAGGAATCAACTAAGGAGAGTAATTGAGATTTTGAGAGCTGCTATATGCGGGAAGAGAGATAAGTAACTTACTTTTTTGGGTAAACAAATAGCCTTTGTTCACACACCGTTCGTAGTTATTACGAACAAAAAACAATACAAATGAAGAGATACCAAAAGGCAGAGAAAGGTGATGCTGATCCATAGTTGGGACCACTGTGAGAGGGCCTGGAAACTGAATGCCACCCAGAGAAATAGATAGGTGCAAACTGTTGCTCAATTATTCTTTGTGCTCATAAATATCTCTGCATTATTATGAAAACAACACAAAAAAACATCTCTATTTCCTGTTTCCTTCACCTACCATACAAACAAAACATCACAGCAACACGAAAGCCATATTCGTTTCTCATCGCCTTGTTACTTCAATCAGATTTCAATTCTCTCGTACATGGACGGTTCCTAAAACATCCCCATATTCTTTTATTGTGACGTATATTACAATTTAAATTATATCAGTTTCGATCAATTTTTTTTTTTTTTGTGAAAAGGTTGTATTAGACTTCCTGCGTCCAGAATATAATTTTACAAGTGTATTAAATATAGTATTTAAATTGTTTTAAACCATAAAATGAAGAATTCTTGATAAAAAGAGACACTTAATATTAAAAAAAATTTAATTTAAAAATTAATATTATACAATTTAAAATAGATTAAATTGTAAATTATTTTATTAAAATTTTTTATTTAATAATTTAAATTATATAATTTAATATAATTTAAATTACACAATAACTTTTTTAAATTAATAATCCTACACAATTAATCCTCCTCGATGTTAAAGAAAAAAAGACAGAAAATTTTAAACATATCAGAAACAGAAAATATAGTTTCTATTGACATTGATTATTGTAGTACCTTAATCCAAAAAAAAACTTCCAAAGGTACAAGCTAGAGACTAAGATTGAGATCCAAACCGTCTTCTGGTTGTTTTTTCTTGTCCTTACCGTTGCAAGGACCAGGAAAGATCATCGGCGGTGTTGGAAACTTGATCTCCTGCATGAAATCTTCCCTGCGGAACGCCGGGATCCAGCTCGGTTTCTCTTCCACTGACATCTTCATTTTCTTCTTTTCTTTCTTCATCTCCTCCATCTCTCTCAATTCGTCTCTTCTTCTGTTCCGCGCTTCTCGGAAACTCCTGATCAGCGCGAAGAACTCCTCCACCTTCCGTTCTTCTTCCTCGTTATCGTCTCCTCCGCCGTCTATACAGCTCTTCTCCGTCTTCGAATTCTCCATCACCGATTCCAATTAAGGAGATGATCTGAATGCACCGACTGGACACGAGAAAAAAAGCAGAGAAAAAACAAAGAGCTCTAATTTCCAACCGCTTCTCTTACAGAGAGGAAAATGGAGAAAGCGTGATTCCACGATTTCCAACTTCTCCGCTCCGTCCACTTATATAGTGGATCAGAGGGAAACGCGAGTTACTTTATAAAATGACGGAATTGACCTGCCAACTAGGCTTACCTGCTCACGCGGAATTCGATAATTTTGATATTTTCAAAGTCTGTCGCGGGCACAAAGGTAAATGGGATAGTGATTGATACTGGTTCCGTAAGTGCTAACGTCATCAAGATGACGTGATGTGAAAGTGACGACGATGATAGGGTAGGGGGGAGGGTGGTGACGAACAAGCGATGACGTCAGCCACCTTAGCAACGGGAACTACGGCGGGCTGGCGTTTTACTTGCTGCCCATCTAGGCAACACGTGGTTATCATTATTATTGTTAGTCTGACCAAGTTAATTTCGAGTTTGGTAGCCACTGAAATGAAGGAAAAAAAATGTAGGGTGTGTTTGGCAAAGCTATTTCGAAAACATCACTTTTTAGGATTTTGTATGTATTTTGGTACTTATATATATCAAAAATGCAATAAATAAATGATAAAAGTGAGATTTAAATTTTTATTTTTTTAACTTAATTTTCAACTTATAAATTTTTTTCCTCATATTTTTTTAGGTCTATTTAGCTAAAATGCCAACTTTATTAAAAAAAGTAATTAGGAAAATATTATATAAAAAATTGATAAATATTGTATCAAAAGTTGATAAATTTTATGATAAGATTTTATTAAATTATTAATTTTTTTGTATTTAATAAAAAATTGGTATAAAAAAATTGTCAAATGAGTTATAAATATGAAAAATTGCAAAGAAATATTTTTTCTTTAAAAAGTGTGAAACAAAAGTTTACACATTTGAAATTATTTTAAGGAAAATAAAAAATAAAAATATTATTTTTATCATTTTTTTATTATAATATTAATGTATAATAATATATAAATAATTTTATAAAGAAAAAGTTTTTCAAAGCTTCAAAAAAATTTATCTACAACCAAACACTCCTTTAAGTGAAAAAATGTTGCTTATGACGTTCTGATGACAGCTCATTTTAACAACATTTCTTTTTTTTTTTAATGTCAATTTCATATTAAATATACCAAAACTAATATTTTAATAAAA